TGGTACCAACAAACTTCTTATTATTGGTATTTCCTTTGATACCAACGAACTCTTAATTGGTATTTCTTTTGATACCAACGAATCCTTTGTATAATACTAGCTTTTAATATCAACTAATGTTCACTTGTTTTTCACTTAATGACTTCTATCGGTACTAGTTATCACAACTCTACTACTTATATATCGAAACAAATTATCTTACCAATTTAACAACCCACCATGCTTCGCAATAATAATTCTTTAACCAGAGAGTTTTGACCAATACCTGAACTTAGTCGACAATGGAACTTCCGGTGTTCTGATCTTCCGGCTTTACCAAGGTAGCTAAACCCAGCCCTGTCTTCCTTAGATCAAGCACAACACAGATCTGATTTGTTTCCTACCTTAGACCGTAGTCTCTAATCAAACAATTTTAATTGTGTTTATGATGGAACTTCTTTAACAGAAAGATAACTTATTTGATATATATAAGGTTCAAAGGGATAACGTTCCCTTCTTGAACGCAACTTTTATTTAATTTGAACATATTACAACACTCATATATTACAACACTAACTGAAAGCTTAAACAAACATAAGCTGAACTAGAGTGTTCTCTACTTCAAGAGAGATGGAGAACCAATCTGTCTTTTAAGGCGAGTATTTTTCTCTAGAGGACTCTCTAATGTTTTCAGAGGAATTCTCTAGCTAAATCTTCCAACTCTGCCTTCACTTATTTGTCTAATTCCCTTTATATAGGGGAAGGCTCACAAAGGTCACCGACACTTTCTATGGCTTACAGAAAACCATGACTTAGCAAGTAAATATCGTTCACTGCTTTTTTAAAGATACTTTAAAACAAATAAAACGTGCTACAACAGTAAAAGTAGAATACATAATTGCTGGTGTGGGCTCAGGATTCCATTAACTCGTCCATCATCATATCTTGTAGACCACCCTCACTGTCCTTACTGTCTTCATAATGGACATACATTGGGTTGTATTCTTCTATACTGAGATCCATCACACATTTGGCAGCATAGGATTCATCCCATGTGACAAAGATCTCCAATAAGTGCTCTTTTCCCTCTAAGGATAAATATCTCCCAGCTTCAACTTGTTCAAGATAATCATACACTGATTCACCATGTGATACTCCTTCTTCTAAATAATTTCTTAACCATTCTGGTGCTACTATTGTAGTATTCCCCACATGTATTATGACTGGTGGTTCTTCTTTTATTGCTATGAATTGGTTAAGATACTAAGAAATATAAAAAAAAATCCATAAGCTCTTGCCTCCGTAGGATCTTTTACTCGTCTCTGCTGGATACAGATTGGATCTTTGACTTTGCGATGAACATCTTCAAACATGATCAGGAAATGTGGAGAGCTAACTTTTCCTTCAACCATTTCGATGTTTGCACTTTGCACTTGGACTTGATCAACTCTTCCTTTGTATCTTGTTGCATCGTAAATTCTTCTAAATACATACCTCTGGAATTTTGTGAGCTTCTCAAAGAAAGTAGTATTATTTTCAGGAAATGGTAAAATGCTATGAACCATTCCATAATCCCAAGCTCTATAGTGCTCCGCCACATATGGTGCCCTCCATTCCAGAGAGTGTGAATGAATTGACACAATACCCACTCTGGAGTTAGTGTTGAACATTATTCAACTTCCCCATAGATCATAAACATCATACAACTTGTATGACCTTGATACAACTAAATTGTACTGGAATCTAAATTCGTTATCTTTTATTTTATTTAGTATTATATTCTGAATATCAGGAATGAGTCGCAGGATAATGACCATTACTTCATACATTAGGAACCTTCGAACTGCTACATGACAACTTTTAATCAAACCATCTCGAGATCTCTTTTTTGATGAAACAATCATGGCCTCCATCAAGGCCCAAGTGGAGGGTGAAACCCGCTCCATTGCTTTATCAGTTTCTTTAATAAGAGTTTTTCTCTCTGCCTCCATCTTTTCTAGTTGATGGGCAGGAGGTTTTCTGATGTCTTGTGCTTCTTCACCGCTGGTTAATTCTCTGGTCAAGCTATCTGTCAAAGAATTTTTCGATCCCTATATATGTTCAACAATAAAAGAGCATTGGTTAAGCCATAATTTCCAACGCATGAGTCTCCCTTGCGCTTGCATATTAGAAAAATTCTTTTTAACAAAACCAAGTATGCCTTTGCAATCTGTTCTTATTAAGAATTTTTTAGGGGCTAAGAAGATTAAGAACTTCTCATCCCTCTAATGACCGCAAGGATTTCCTTTTGCATTGTAGGATAATTTAACTCAGCTTTATTAAAACTTCCACTGTTGTATCTGTAGAGTCTTTCTCCTTCTTTGATTTTTAACACAACACTCCAGTGCTCATTAGTCATTACTAGCATCTGTTTCAAGGATTAAATCATCTTCACTAGTAGCTAGTGTTAGTACAGGAAGATCTTTACACATAGCTTTTAAATCTTGAACAATTTTGGAATCACTTTCTTTCCAGTTCCAAGTTATTTCTTTCTTGAGTTTTTGTTGTAATGGTTTTCTTAATATAGCAAGATTCTCTATAAAATCAGAAGCATAAGTTAAAAATCCTAGAAATCTTTCTAGTTGCTTTCTATCTTCGATTTTATTTGGGAATTTTTCAATCTTTTCCAGGATATGTTTTTGCAAGTTATTTGTCCAGCTTTAATTTCCAATCGAAGAAACTCAAATTCTTGTTTAACATAAACACATTTATCTTTTCCAAGGATTATATCATGCTCAACACATTTTTGAGTTATTGCTTTAAGATCATTCTTATGTTGTTCTAAATCTTTTGAGAATATTAGAATATCATCTATGTAAACCAAACAACAATGATTAAGTTCTCTAAAAATATTATCCATTCTTCTCTGAAATATATGTGGTGCATTTTTTAATCCAAAAGGCATTACTAACCATTCATAATGTCCTTGAGGGGCACTAAATGCAGTTAATGGAATGCTTTCTTCTTCCATTTTAATTTGCCAGTAGCCACTCTTACAATCCATCTTAGAAAACCATGTGGATCCTTATATTCTATTAAATAACACAGTTTTATTAGGAATGTAATATCCATCATTGTCATTTAGCTGTTTATAATTAATGACCATTCTAGCTTTACCTCTTTTTTCTTCTGCATGATTCCTTACCATGAATGCTGGACTATTGTGAGGACTCTTGCTATTCCTAATTAACTTTTTATTCAAAAATTCTTTTATTTGTTCATCAAATTCCAATAAATCTTGGTAGGTATAAACCATTTGTCTTACTCTAATAATCTTATTAGGATTTGTTATAGTTATCTTAGCAAATGCCTTATCCTTTTCCCAATGTTCTAATGGATTTGTTGAATATAATTTTTCACATAATCTTTCTTGCTGCTTGCTTATCTGATCTATTAATGATAAATCACACTCAGAAATTCTAAGTGCAACCTCTCGTTGTGTAGGTGTAACCCTATCACCACGCTGGCTGCGCGTAAATTCCATAGTCTGATGAGTATAAGCCTTTGTTATTTTCTGTATAGGAACAAAATGACCATTAATAGTAAAGATAATTTGATCAATGGTTTGAGTGCATGGAAAGTATAATCTTTGAAAATTGTTTCCTATTATCATATCATGACTAGGTTGGCCAGTTACCCGCAAAAATAGGAATAACACATTGAACCCCTCTGATTTCTATAGGTAATTCTTCAATTATATATGTATGCATCATTACACTATTATTAACAATTCTAACTTGCATAGGATTTTTAGCCTTTTTCCATAAGAATTATGGAAATAATGACCTTTTTCCAAAACATGTAGAACAACCACTATCAATATATGCACATAATTTATATTTATTATAATCTTCAATGCATATATCAATTGGAATATAAATACTATTAGGATTAGTACTAGATATTTCATTAAAAGCTTCCATTTGCATATTAACCTCATCTTCATATACTGGTTCACTTACAGTTTTGGTCTTATATCTAATTACCTTTCTTTTTTCAATAATAGGATTATTCAAATCTTCATGTATTTCTAAGTTAGAATATGAACCAATATCTATACTATGTCTTGCTGGTTGCTTTAAGGCTTTCTTAGCTTCATATTTTTCATTTAACTTTTTTATTAAAGCTAATATTTCTTCTTCATACTCTTCGGGTTTTTCATTGACTTGTTTTTTCATCCTTGAATTTTGTCTACTTAGACTTGGTGTTCTAAGACTCATACTTCTCTGCATTTTAGGATTTGTAGTTAACCTAATATGAAGTAATCCTGATTCATCAATTAGCATCTTACTTGACCTATTTTTTACTGCAGGATTCATGAAGAATTCTTCCCATGTTTTTTCAATTTCTATTTCATTAGAATTTACCTTTATAGGGCTAATTTTCTTCTTAGGACCTCCTCCTTGCTCATATTTCAGAGCATCTACTATTTTTTTTCTTGAAAGATGAATCTATAGTGTTAACCAGCTTATAGACTACCTTCCATCTTAATTGTATAGGTCGAGTTCCTTTATGCATGTATACTCCATCAGTTTATTACTTGATTGCTAGAAATTTTGGAGCATATGAATCTTCTAAGCTCACATAGTATCTAGGTTCACATATATAACTTACAGTTGCTTAACTTAAGCTACAAGTGATACCACTAATAATTTGCTCATAGAACTCTTTACGTCTAATATACTTGCACTGCACCAATACAAATATAACTATAATTTCCTTTTTCTATATGGTTCTTAATGCTTTTCCAGTTTATGATATTAATTTCTGCTGCTTTCTTTTCACAATCCTCGATTACTATACTTCCTTCCATTTCTTCACATACATATTTAGTTCTAGTTTTAAAGAAAGAAGTTTTAAATATTTTATCTTTAGTAATCTAGGGAAAATTCCAGCTTTCTTTGTTCATTTAATCTAGGTCTTTATCTTCAATTGAATACTCTGCTCTTTTTAATTGACCTATAGCCAGTTTACTTTTATCCTCATCGTCTGATTCTTTTTTCTAATATTTCCCCTTCCATCATATTATTTATTTCTTCATAATTTTCATCTTCAAACTCACAGTCTTCAGGTTCTTCAATATACTCATTTTCTTCTTCTATGATTTCTACTATTCCCTTATTATTACTTAAAGCCAAATCTAAAGCCTCATCTTCTGATATTTCTATGTAGTCCCAACTACCTAAGGCTTCCATTAGTATATGATTAGCTTTCTTACATTCATTAGCATAGTGTCCTAATTCTCCACAAGAGCAACACTTGCATGTTTTCTTTTTCTCGGGACAATATGTTGCCTTTCTGAAAAACCTACTGGGTTTTTTGTATTTATGTTTACAGTACCTCTTCTTATAGGTTTCTCCTCTTGATCTGTCAAATTTATTTTTCTTATAATTCTTCCTCTTATTATAGTTTTTTCTTTCACATCCATAGTTATTTGGGAAATCCCAACAAGTGAGAAATTGTCTCTTCATTTGTTGAGTTCTTGCAACCTCTCTACATTTCTTTTCAACCCATTTTCTTAGAAAAGCAATTCTACTACCTAGGGCATCCCTAGCTAAGAATTTCTCTTTCCATTCTTGATATTTTTCACTAATTTCTTCATGAAGAGAACTTGGTAATTTATCGTAGAACATTCCAAGATTTGTTTCATTTTCACCAATTTTATAATAATATGTTTCAAATTCCATAATGTAACTTTCGACATATTTCATATTACAAATGGACAAATTACTTAACTTTCTTTGATATTCCATTCGTTTTTCAAGGATCAGCTCTAGGACCAATGAATTCTAACTCAATGTATTGACATAATTGTCTAAACATTCTAGTAGGAGATTCACTAGCTCTTAATGTATTTTTTACTTCTTCATCTATACCATCATACCAATCTTCTACACAGCCATAAAAGCTATGTTCAATGTAGTTTAAAAAAATTTCAGAAGTCCATTTAGTGTTTAGATTAAGTACACTACTCATACTCGTTTTCCACTGATCTAAAATATCTTGTTTATCTCTTACACCATCTAATTTAAGCTTATAACCAGTTTTACTTATAGGTTCAAGAGTCACTTCTTCTTGTTTGGGTATTTAATTAGGCATAACCTTGATACTAAATCGGGTAGTTTTCCTTGGTATGTATCTTGGTCGTGTGCAAATTCCCTCTTCTTGATACGTAGGTCTTTGGATAACATTGTTTACAATAAATTTTTCATTAATAATTTCTTCGCCAACATCATTATTATCTATTACCCTTTTACCTAGTTTATTTTCAATCTTTTGCTGAACAACTTCTATAGGCAGAAAATCTAGATCATCTAACTTCATTAATCCCATTTGTTGATATAAATCTTCCTCTAAAGTAACATAGTTATTCTCTTCTACTTCGTTATCAGAAGCAATCCCTTTTTCAGAAATTATTTTTCATGATATCATTTAGCTTATCATGGTCTTCTTCTTTATCAAACAAGATTTGCAATTCTTCAATTGTTTTCTCCTGAAGATGATGGCTCATCTTTAGTTTCTTTGTTCTTTTCTTGGTTACTAGTAGGTCTTTTAGGGAGTGATACCGTAAACTTTTTATTTTTATCTAAATTTTGAAAAGGATATTTATATTTATAAGGGACGATTTTTTCCTTATTAGGTGATACTTCTTTACTAGATTGATGTCTAACTTCGTTTGTTAAAGCAAGTTGCACTTGTTTCACTTGTTCTTTTAGATCACTTACTTTTTTTATTAATATCGGTTGTGGTTATTGATATCTTATTTTCAATTTTAATACAACGAGCATGTATGTTATCAACTTCTGATCTTAATTCACCAATTTGATCTACTATATAATTAAGAATTAGGCCAAAATTACTAGTACATTCAGAAATATGATAGTAATGCTTAAAATCAGGTTTCTTACACTCAATAGAGGGCCTATTATTCTCCTATTTTACTTAATTATTAATTGAATTAACAACGTAATTTAACTTTTAACTGTATGGCTTTGATACCAATCGACGCAACTAGGATACCATCTGATTCAAAATAGACTTGATTAGGATACCAATAATATAACAACATATACCAACGACAATACTTGTTAAATATGATACCAAGTGCAATATTAGAATTATACCAATATTAACGTAGGATGGTTTTTTTTTTTTTTTTTTTGGTCAAATTATGAAAATAACCTTAGTTGAATCCTTTTGGGACTATAGCTAGTTGAGGCTTAGAATTTCCAGTTTAATCCACTCTTAGCTTGTTACAGCACTATCCAACATTGTCAGTTTATGAGTACCTGCGGGCTACAGAGCTAGTCAAGTATGACTGACTGATTGTTATCAAAGTTAACGAGGTCCAAACACTGTTGGTCTTCTAACATTTGATAACCAAATTAATACTCCATGTCCTCTTTAATCATTATCTAAGTTATAGCCTCATCAAATTGAATTATGATGTTTGATAGGCAATAAGAAATCTAGCTGATAAAAAGATATTCGTGACTAAGCTAGTGACCAATAGTAAAAGGCTTTCTCCTTTTTTCTAACTTGATATTAACAAAATGATAATTATATGAATGTTAATGATTTTTTAATTCCTATAAAAATAACCACTAATTAAAGAAAAAGTTCAAACCTTTCTTCAAAAAAAAAAAAAAAAAAAAAAGAAAAAGTTCAAACCCGCAACAGAAAGCATCTTCCTTTCAACAGTCTATTATTTCCTTCTATCATCTTTTATCAACTTAACATACGCCACTAATTAGACCAAACCGCCATTGCATAAATTTATGCTTTCAAAAAATCAATATAACAATTAATTTGCTGACGGAGTCACAGTAATATAAGAAGCACGTAAATTTGGTACCATTATCAAATTGTCATTATATATTTATACTTCCTCCGTCTCATATTATAATTCCTGTTTTTCTTTTTGGAGACCCAAAATGTTATTCCTGTTTCTATTTTTGGATAGTATGTAAATATCATTATATTCTCATTTGTTTAATTTTATTTATTGAACTTCCTAATTTACCCTTAAATTATTCACTTGCCTTGTACTTTTTTTCACTTTCTCTCTCTAACTTTTGTCTATAATTGTACCTTTTACTTTTTCCCCTTAAATTATCCACTTGCCTTATACTTTTGTCTAACTTTTTCCACTTTTAATGTACTTCATTTACGTTCTCCTATTATTTTTTAAATATTGTAAAAAAACACAAACAGAAACTATATATTTGGGACGGAGGGAGTACAATATACATCTACGTTATTGTTTTAGCTTTTCCTTAAACTGTTCCTTTTTACCCCTTATATCTCTTACTGTCTTACAGTATCAACTACGAGTAGTAGTACAAGAAATGAAAGATGGGTCAAAAATAAATGGACCGGGCTGTGTAGTGTAAGTAAAGCTAGCTTAGACATTCTCTGGCAAAGACAGGTCTGCTAAATGTGAAGAATGAAAAATTAAGTGTCGGGCGGTCTTTGGGCTTTGAGTGGGTGGGGTCCACCTCGTTTGGACCCATAACATTCCTTTGGAATTTGGGACACTACAGTGACCCCTTCTATCATTGGATCATTAGCGCCTCTTATTTTGTTCACCTAATTATACCAATCCATTAATAATCTCAATTAATCCCCTTTTAAAAATATATATATATATATTCTTGTAAAGTATTTTGCCATGGACCTAGTCTTCACCTTAATAGGGTTGTAGGGGTTACACAAATTGGAACTACATCTTGGTTCAACCTTATTTTGTGATCCACTATGATATCGTTTTTAAATCGATTATTGGTAAATATCATTTAAACGAATAATTAGACTTATTACATGCGAGAAATGGTTTCAGATTAATATACATAACGTCATAACCTTTTTAAGGTAGGAAGCAATTTTTTTTACTAGTAGAATTAAAAATGTAATTTGATAAAATACTTGGTTTATTATGTTAATGGTTTCTTCAACTTCATAATCATGAAAAACCATTTAGCCGCTATTGTTTATCGGTGTTTATCGAACTTTTTGTGTCAATGTTTTTAACACAATCACCTATTATTTTGTCTAAAACTTATGCAATTTTTGAAATATTGGTTTTTCATGAACAACCCTAGACTTTAGAATTATTGGAGGGAAATTAATTTTGCCTTTGTACCCTATTTTTGCCATACTTTAACTTGTTTTCATAAAGTTAACTTAATTTTGCTACACAATATAATGTTAGTTGGTGGCAGGACAGTGATGAAGATAAAGCTTGGTTTATTTTTAGCTTAAATTAACTTTTTTTTTTAACTAAACTTAACTTATATTTGCTAAAATGTACTTCGTATTTTAAATAGTTAAAGAGCATAAAGCCGTAATTAAATTAATTGTGTATCAAATTGGTACTGAGTTCAAAATTTATATAAAATGACAACCTGTAGAAATTGTTATATACACCTAAGGTGCATGGTGCACCCAAGGGTATTGCTTGTTTATTTCGATGATTATTGCTCAATTTATCATCAAATGAGCAAAAAAAAAAAAAACCCTTGGGTACACCGTTCACCAGGGTGTATATAACAATCTCTTGACAACCTGTTATGGTTGTTAAGTGTTAAATATATGATTGTATTTTATAGCCTTAGCTTTTACCTAAGATTTCATAATCATAGTTTTGTTTTCCCTTAATTAAAGATTTAATTTTGCTTGTTTGTCAACATTAATTGGCCCAAACGATGCTGGTGGTGGCAACTGGCAGGGGGGGAGGGATGGTTTTCTGAGCAAAAAGGGAATGACGTAAAGTGGACACTTGTTAATAAGTTTTCTTTAATTAATTTATAAGTTTATTCTTTTATTTAGTTCGAGTTTCTTTGATTAGAACGAATGAACAAATCACTAATCCTTTGGAATTTCTTTAGCTAATCTGATTATTATTGTTGATTGAGTGACCAAGTATGGAGTAGTAAACTAGAATAAGTCGCATGTTTATTTGATAATTGATCTAGGATTACAAGGGATCGTAAGAAACAAGGATTGTTGATGATGTAACTCTATATTCAATGGTTCACAACCTGAAAATGGCCAATGGCTATAATTTATTCTTTTCAAACTAATGAAATTATCCTTTTCTTTCCAAGAGAATTTCCATATTCTTTTCCCCCCAAAAATTACATTTCCTTTACTATAAATGATAACAAATTTTTTTTTAAAAAAATAGAACACATACTCCGTACTTTGTAGTTAAAATTAACAATAACAGACTTGTCAATGGAAAAGGGTCATACACTGATACACTCATTATATACATGCGCCTCCTCATTAAATTAGGTTACTATCGAGCCTTGAATATACATATGGTCAATACAGTGTGCAGTATGTGCACATGTGATGAATTGTATACTATACATTAATACATTATTGAAATTGAAGATTTTTTATACAACGGTTGTAGACTTACATAGGATATATGCTATTGGAAAAGAACGGAAAAACTAGACTTGATATAATTTGAAAGATTACTCTTCTATAGCCAACAATTTTTAGAACACAATTTTACTTAGGCTTAGCTTTCCAACTCTTACTTTCCTTTTATAGGTATGTCTAAACTAGCACATTTTCATATTCTCTCCAAAAATCATCCAACATCCATTACAAGTTAACTTTCAACATTGGAGAGGAATTTTTGATGAATGGACTTTATACAAACTGTAAAGTATCT